CCAACACTCTCTCTGGTGAACGGCTCGAGTTGGACGACGAGGGGATAGCCACGGGTTGGGTGTAGCGGCGTGAGCTGAGAAGATGTAACCCGTCTAAGCAGCTTTGTTCCGCCTGCCGCTCACTACAGGCACATTTCCTTTTCGTCGCCCTCTGAGCTTATCGTGGAATCCTACATCAATCCCAATAGCTGGTGTCGTGCCGCCAAACACTACCATTTGTGCCACCGAAACACTATCATCTCATGAATACCCTAACGCAAAAAAATACGATGACGATTGTAGCACCAGCAAGCCGACACGCTTCTGCTATCACTGGGCGCGTAACGTCATCACCGGCACGGCCCTGCTAGGCTAAGGTCTGCGGTGCTCATCGTCTAGCTCGTTCAGGGGTCGGCTGCATTTCCACTTGGTATATTCCCCTTCTTCGATCTTCTCCCCTTTTCCTGACCGTATCGCGTAGTCCTCGTGATTGGAGATGGTCACCTGAAGCTGAAATATATCGAAACCATCATCGCTTGTGAATGATCACCGTAGAAAAAATCTCTGACTCTGCTGTTGACGCAAACAGAACGTAAGTCAACAGAATGCTTCACTATTAATTTTATTGCATATTGACTTTTCATGCCTTATTCATATAGCTAAGATTATCTGCATGGTAAAGGATACCGGCGGAAAGTTCTCCGCAATTTTTCTGTTGTATGTGGAATTTGTGAATTAAAAGGACGAATTCACGATGAAAAAGCAACCCATTTCAAATTAACCTAGGGATGGTGAGTGGTACACGAAAGAAGGAAGAACCATGAGAAACGGCCCAGAACCCGAGAAATGGTACCCCTTCCTTGCCCGTTGATTCGAGCATTGATGCGACTCTCATCGCTGTGCCCTCTTCAACACTACGCTCTCTCAGCTATCTAATCACTCGCCACGTATTGAACTACGGCGAGTGATCAGATGATCGGTGGGCGGAGATCGCCGGACCCGCCAGCTTTGAGGCATGATAGGTCGCCGAGGTCAAATTTTTCCATGCGAATTGCGCGTCAGTTCGCACCCTCAGGAGGTCCGTGGGTCCCTCAACTAGGTCAGTTTCCCTTTCTTCGACCTTCATTCTAATCGTGAATTCCTCCTTTAATCGCGTCCATGTACAGGTTGCT